CTGTGGAGGGAGCTGAAGGTTTGAGTTGCCAAACGTCAGCCTCAACCTTAATGACTTGGAGAATTTTTCGATTTAAAGCTTTTGTGACTGCAGGGATTCATCTTCTTGGTTCTTTCGGTAAAGTCACGTAGAAGGGAAGTAATGAAATAAAAATAAAACCTAATAAAACAATTCTCACGACGTTTCGGCCACAACGCAAGCAGCCGTCCTCAGGTGAAAACCAGGTCTGTCGAGGCGACAGCGTCTGAATGAAACAGCGCACGTGTTTGGAGCATATTTATAAGCTGGGTTGGAAGGGGGGAAAAGGGCGCCTTGACAAAAGAATATGCATATCAAGAGGAATTTAGCATATTTATGGGAAATGCAGGTATGTGATTAGTACTAATGACCGTGCATTATGCAGGATTAGCAGCATCAAAGGGAAGGGATATGGGAAATGCAGGTATGTGAATAGTACTACTTATGTCCGTGCATTATGCAGGATTAGCAGCATCAAAGGGAGGGGATAGGGGTAGCATTAATAAAGGGAAGGAGTGTTAATAGTATGTAGCTGCAGTAACTAAAACCACCACGTAAACAACTAAAGTATAAACTACATAGTATCATCAGTATACTAAATATACTCTACAATAAGCTGAGTTACGAACAGTAAGTAATACATTACAATTCTACGTCGTAAAAAATATATAATATGCTTCCATCTAAACTTTATTCTCTTACATCACACGAGTCTACACCGTACTATATACTGCCATAGACAAACCCAACATTAAATTACATACTGTATTGTCCTTATACATTGTAATATTACACTGTATTATTCTACTCACCCTAATGTATATCACACTGCTGTATATTGACTATACAATTACGATACTATATATTACTTTGTACATTGTATTAAGCATATAAATGTTATATTATTTGTTATTATACACTGTACCATTGATCGTCGTGTGAAAGATACTAAGAATTAGCAACGAAATATGTCAATGGGTGAGTAGTGAGGGGGAAACTTGCAGCGGAGAAAATCAGACTTACGCGCACCAATCTAGATCAGTTAGACAAAACACTCTACAAATCACACTTATCTTTGAGTGCAACAATGTCCACATCGGATTGGGAACATGTAGACAAAATGACTGCCTCTTCAGCTGCCGCTATGTCGACCAAATGTAAGGACAACTTGATTTCCAAATTCAACCGCCTCTCAAAGAGACCGGACCCACACATTGAAAAGCTAGACGATAATAAAGTCGTAATTAATCGCAATAACAGTACTATTTCTGAAGGTCTGAAATCCGTTTTAGCTAAAGGACTAAACTTTGCAGTCACACCTAGACACATACCAGTTAATGATATAATTGCTAGAGTAGATGTAGCTCTCAAGGGCCTGAGTCACATCGCTGCAGACGTAGCAAGATCTGAAATCTCTGCAACCCTCAAAAACGCTAAGATGCCAGCTAGCAACATCAGCAAAGATGAGCGTTTTGAATTAGCTCAAATAAAAAAGAGGGATGACATTGTCATCCTCTCAGCTGACAAAGGCAATGCAACTGTCATCATGGACAAAATAGAATACAACAACAAAATTCAAGAACTACTCAACGATGGCAGCTATACAAAAATAAAAAGAGACCCCACCAACAGCCTCGTCTCTAAAACCAACAAAATCATTTCTGCTTCAACCGCATTAATTGATCAGACCAAACAGTTCTCGTTGAAACCTTCTGCAGCCAGGCCACCAAGATTATACGGCTTGCCAAAGATACATAAAGAAGATACACCTCTTCGTCCCATTGTCTCTACTATCAATTCCCCCACCTACAAACTGGCTCGTTTTTTGTCTGAAATCCTACGGCCTTTCACTGGAAAAAAACATCTCTGCGGTACTAAACTCTACTGACCTGGTATCGACAATCAAGGGGATTTCCCTGTCCCCAGACGACCTGCTTGTCAGTTTTGATGTGGTTTTCTTATTCACCAAAGTTCCTCGCAATCATTGAAGACTTGGTTCATCAAGGACTGAACGCTGGGGTACCCCCCCCTGGTGAGACACTGCTTAACCAATACATACTTCACCTGGAATGGAACTTTCTACAAGCAAACTGAGGGCACCCCAATGGGCCCCCCTATCTCCGGTTGTAGCCAACGTGTTCATGGAGAAATTTGAGACTGACGCCATCCAGACTGCCACTCTACGCCCGACCTTATGGACGAGGTACGTAGATGAGACTTTTGTCATCTGGCTACATGGCCGGCCTGCACTAGACCAATTTCTCGACCACATCAATTCCATACACCCAGCCATCAGATTCACCATGGAAGTCGAAAAAGATGGCAAGCTACCCTTTTTGGATGTCCTAATTAAAAGGAGACCTGATGGTTCAATGAGCCACTCTGTCTACAGGAAAGCCACCCATACGGATGCTTACCTAAAACCGGATTCCAACCACCATCTATCTCAGCAGAATTCCCTCATCAAGACTCTATACCATAGAGCCCAATGCATATCCGACCAGGAACACATTGCCAGTGAACTCAAACACGTACGCCAAGCTCTTAAGGCTAATGGTTACTCCGACTACACAATCCACAAAGCCATCACTCCAACCATCAGGAAGGATCCTGTTGAGGAGCCTTTCAAGACCATCACCTTACCCTACATTGCTGGGGTCACAAAAAAGGTCTCCAAAATCCTGATAAAACACAAGATCCAGGTCCGATTCAACACAGTACATAAAATCCGTGATCTGGTCCCGTCTGTAAAAGATGTGGTTCCAGACATACAGTACCCTGGCGTCTACAAACTAAGTTGCCTCTGTGGTAGCAGTTACATTGGAGAAACCAAACGACATGTCTCGGACCGCATCCGTGAACATAAAGCAGACTTGAAACACGGTAGGACAAACACCTCAGCCATGGCAGATTACTGTTACAATTCAGTGGGCTCACATGATATTGACTTCTCCAAGACAGAGGTTCTCTGCAAGCCATCTGGCTACCATGAGAGATTCGTTCATGAGGCGATCCACATATACAAACACGGAGACAATTTCAACCGAGAAGATGGATTCTGGCTTAGCAATCATTGGAAGGACGTAATAAACCATTTCGGATCTTAACTGATTGTGTTCACGTTTATGGTGACTTTCAGACCGCGTTCCACTCACTGGCATTGTATTCTCCGCAGGGAATGGATTCTTTTCTCCGCTGCAAGTTTCCTACTAATACTCACCCATTGACATATTTTGTTGCTTCCTCCTAGTATCTTTCACATGACGGTCAATGGTACAGTGTATAATAACAAATAGTATAACATTTATATGCTTAATACAATGTACAAAGTAATATATAGTATAGTAATTGTATAGTCAATATACGGCAGTGTGATATACATTAGGGTGGGTAGAATAATACATAGTGTAAGATTACAATGTATAAGGCAATACAGTATGTAATTTAATGTTGGGTTTGTTTATGGCAGTATATAGTACGGTGTAGACTCGTGTGATGTAAGAGAATAAAGTTTAGATGGAAGCATATTATATATTTTTTACGACGTAGAATTGTAATGTATTACTTACTGTTCGTAACTCAGCTTATTGTAGAGTATATTTAGTATACTGATGATACTATGTAGTTTATACTTTAGTTGTTTACGTGGTGGTTTTAGTTACTGCAGCTACATACTATTAACACTCCTTCCCTTTATTAATGCTACCCCTATCTCCTCCCTTTGATGCTGCTAATCCTGCATAATGCACGGACATAAGTAGTACTATTCACATACCTGCATTTCCCATATCCCCTCCATTTGATGCTGCAAATCCTGCATAATGCACGGGCATAAGTAGTACTAATCACATACCTGCATTTCCCATATCCCTTTCCTTTGATGCTGCTAATCCTGCATAATGCACGGTCATAAGTAGTACTAATCACATACCTGCATTTCCCATAAATATGCTAAATTCCTCTTGAAATGCATATTCTTTTGTCAAGGCGCCCTTTTTCCCCCTTCCAACCCAGCTTATATATATGCTCCAAGCACTGTGCTGTTTCATTCAGACGCTGTCGCCTCGACAGACCTGGTTTTCACCTGAGGACGGCTGCTTGCGTTGTGGCCGAAACGTCGTGAGAATTGTTTTATTATGTTTTATTTTTATTATTTTATTACTTTCCTTCTACGTGACTTTACCGCAAGAACTAAAGAAGACTTGGAGAATATCTGCAAAGAGGAGTGGGACAAAATCCCTCCTGAGATGTGTGCAAACCTGGTGGCCAACTACAAGAAACGTCTGACCTCTGATTGCCAACAAGGATTTGCCACCAAGTACTAAGTCATGTTTTGCAGAGGGGTCAAATACTTATTTCCCTCATTAAAATGCAAATCAAGTTATAACATTTTTGACTTGCGTTTTTCTGGATTTTGTTGTTGTTATTCTGTATTTCACTGTTCAAATGAACCTACCATTAAAATTATAGACTGATCATTTCTTTGTCAGTGGGCAAACGTACAAAATCAGCAGGGGATCAAATATTTTTTTCCCTCACTGTAAACCCAAAACCCTATAAATACCTAACCCTCTGAACCCCTTTACCCTTAAACCCCTTTACCCTGAAAACCCTAACCCTCTAAAAGCCTAAACCTCTAAACCCTTCACCCTTTAAACCCCTATACCCCAAATATCCTAATCCTCTAAACACCTAACCCTCTAAACCCCTTTACCCTGAAAACCCTAACCCTCTAAACCCCTAACTCTCGAATCCCCTCAACCCCTGACACTCTCAACCCCTAAACCCTATAACCCTCGAAATCCCGAAACATCTAAACCCCTTAACCCTGAAATAACCCGAAACCTCTAAACCCTTAACTTTATAAATCCCTAACCCTCTAAACCCCTAACCCTTTGTGTGGAATGTGGTGGGGGTGGGATCATGGGGTGGGTGGGTGCAATGTGTGTGTGGTGTGCGTTGGGTGGTGGGTATCAGGGGGGTGAATGGGTGCAGGGTGTGTGTGGTGGGTATGGTGATAGTGGTCGTGGTTCACAACGATCCGTGACCACCACCACCACCTCTACTGTGTGGTGGACCGGCCACCACACAGCAGCACGCGTCGGAGGAGTGAACGGATGGTTCTCCCTATGCGGGCCAGACTCCCTGGCTTCCTCTTCTCCTCTTGCATCACCTGATCCTCTTTCCTTGTCATCTCCTTCTCCACCATCTTCTCCACCAATGTCTCCTCCACCTGCACCACCATCTCCTCCTCCTGCTCCTTCGTCCATACCTCCTCTGTCTCCCCCCTCATCTCCTCTTCTTCCTGCACCACCAGCTCCTCCACCAGGGTCTCCTCCTCCTGCACCACCAGCTCCTCCACCAGGGTCTTCTCCTCCTGCACCACCAGCTCCTCCACCAGGGTCTCCTCCTCCTGCACCACCAGCTCCTCCACCAGGGTCTCCTCCTCCTGCACCAACAGCTCCTCCACCAGGGTCTCCTCCTCCTGCACCACCAGCTCCTCCACCAGGGTCTCCTCCTCCTGCACCAACAGCTCCTCCACCAGGGTCTCCTCCTGCACCACCACCTCCTCCACCAGGGTCTCCTCCTCCTGCACCACCAGCTCCTCCACCAGGGTCTCCTCCTCCTGCACCAACAGCTCCTCCACCAGGGTCTCCTCCTCCTGCACCACCAGCTCCTCCACCAGGGTCTCCTCCTCCTCCTGCACCACCAGCTCCTCCACCAGGGTCTCCTCCTCTTGCACCAACAGCTCCTCCACCAGGGTCTCCTCCTCCTCCTGCACCACCCGCTCCTCCACCAGGGTCTCCTCCTCCTGCACCACCAGCTCCTCCACCGGAGTCTCCTCTTCCTCCACAACAACCGTCAGCCATTTAGAGGCCTGGGCGAGCGCGGAGGATGGGGGCAGCGCCGGCTCCGCTCTGTTAAGAGATGCGCACGACACCGTTCCAACTTCCTGCTACAACAGAGATTGCACTCCCCCCCCCCCACCATCGTGCGGAAATAGATTAACCAGGTTAATAACGATGCTGCAGTAACGCAGCATACCTTTGCCCATCGTGGGTCTGGTTACAAAATGGGCATTAGTCTTGCGATATCACACTGGATGAAAGGCTACATGGCAAATATATGGCTGCTTCATTATTTGTCCTCACCCAGAAACCAATTATAAAAATACATCCGTATATAACCGAATGTACACGTGGGGTTTGAACTGTACATGTGTTCGTTTGCAGGCAGCAGGGCTGGAACTCAGTCAGAGGGACCTGGGTTTGATGCCCAAACTTGGGCCACTTTCTCCGTGTGGAATGTGGAGTGTGTTCTACCCCCCCCCCCCGTTTTATCCTGCATTGGTTTCCAAAATCAGAATATATTATTTAGACTGGATGAAGAGGAATCCGATAAGCTATGAAGCTCTTCTTTCACAGATATGCAGTCGAGGCACAGGGTCAGCAAGTTACAACAACAAACAAAAGAAAATGAGTGCAACGTGTAAAAATGTAAGCAAGTCACAAAATAATTGAGCATATAAGCACAAAGTACGTAAAATCCTGCCAGTTTTTCAACACTAAATACAAACTTGGGCAAGGCAGCAAAACATCAACAAAAACAGCCCCAGACCTCACCACAACACACAGTCCCTCAATAAAATTGTACATTAAAATGTAACTTTCATTCCTTGGGGTTTGGCATTTTCCTCCACGTAACCGAACCCTGACACACACGCCACACAACCAGTGTTGGATGGACATCCTCGGCAGTGTTAGAAATTGAACCCCCAAATCACTCAATAGGAATCGCATAGCAGCAGTAGCAAAAGCAAATTTGTTCTGTACTGCAAACAACTTGGCAGGACTCTAATTAAAAAGAGTCTTGAGGCTGAGTGAGGCTCATGCTGGCTAAATAAGGGTAGTAGTAATCAATATAGAGCCGGGTACGGTGTACTGGGGAAACCGCCCCGGGCAGCGTGCTTCTGGCGGCCCTGTGCTTCGATGTCACGGTGTCAGACGTAATGTCTTTTTAACACGTAGGTTTTCGTACCAGATTGGCTCACAAATGATGACATCACATTTATCACTATTTAAGACCGAAACGGGAGTATTTCTCCATAATTTTGGCCGTCACCTTATGAGGCTGGTTGCAATCCCTGGCAAAATGTCGTACTCGAATTGTAAAAGTGGTGGGTTTACTTTCCAACACACTGGTGTGCTGATCTAGTAACGAATTGTCACATTTTGTTTACATGATACACCTTACTAATTGGCTGTGTTGGGTGATGGTGGGTTTAACAACACACGTATATCTACGCGATCTAACCGAAACAAACCTGTATTATTAGTAATACTTCCGGTTTAATTGTGACTTGCCCCGGGCTCCACACCTCCCTATGGACTGTCTTGAACATTTGACAAGCAGATTGTGGCTTACCGTCGCTCAGCAGCTCCAAAACACTGTACACTGCCAGGAGTAGCAGTGGTGGTGGCGTTGCTGGTGGTGCTGGTGGCCGTGGTCCGGAGCCAGCTGTGACCCAGCGCCTGCGCTGGCGTCATGCGACAATCCGGATCCCTCTTCTTGGTTCTTTCGGTAAAGTCACGTAGAAGGGAAGTAATAAAATAATAAAAATAAAACATAATAAAATAAAATAATTCTCACGACATTTCGGCTACAACGCAAGCAGCCGTCTTCAGGTGAAGAATGAGACACTACCAAACTAGGAGCTTATATATAAGCTGCGTTGGAGGTGGAAGAGCGCCTTAACAAAAAGAATGTGCATATGAAGAGGAATTTAGCATATTCATGGAAAATGCGTAGGCGTTGGGCGGGGGGGTTTCAAAGTCATATTATGCCCATGCATTATGCAGGATCAGCAGCACCAAGGGGGGGTGCAGGGATTAGCAGTAACAAAGGAAAGGAATGTTAATGATATGTAGCTGCAGTTACTCAACAACCACGTAGAAAACTAAAGTATAAACTACATAAAAAACTAAAGTATAAACTGCATAGCACCATCAGTATACTTACTATACTCTACAATAAGCTGAGTTACTAACAGCAAGTAATACATTACAATTCTACGTCGTAAAAATTCTATAATATGCTTCCATCTAAACTTTATTATCTTACATCACACGAGCATATACCGTACTATATACTGCCATAGATAAACCCAACATTAAATTATATACTGTATTGCTGGAAACCAACCTATACCTTTTAATATAATACTATGTATTATTCTACACACCCTAATGTGTATCGAAATGGTTTATTACGTCCTTCCAATGATTGCTAAGCCAGAATCCATCTTCTCGGTTAAAATTGTCTCTGTGTTTGTATATGTGGATCGCCTCATGAACGAATCTCTCATGATAGCCAGATGGCTTGCAGAGAACCTCTGTCTTGGAGAAGTCAATATCATGTGAGCCCACTGAGTTGTAACAGTGATCTGCCACGGCTGAGGTGTTTGTCCTACCGTGTTTCAGGTCAGCTTTATGTTCACGGATGCGGTCCGAGACATGTCGTTTGGTTTCCCCAATGTAACTGCTACCACAGAGGCAACTTAGTTTGTAGACGCCAGGGTACTGTATGTCTGGAACCACATATTTTACAGACGGTACCAGATCACGGATTTTATGTACTGTGTTGAATCGGACCTGGATCTTGTGTTTAATCAGGATTTTGGAGATCTTTTTTGTGACCCCAGTAATGTAGGGTAAGGTGATGGTCTTGAAAGGCTCCTCAACAGGATCCTTCTTGATGGTTGGAGTGATGGCTTCGCGGATTGTGTAGTCGGAGTAACCATTAGCCTTAAGAGCTTGGCGTACGTGTTTGAGTTCACTGGCAATGTGTTCATGGTCGGAGATGCATCTTTTTCGACTATCCTTTTTGGATGTCCTAATCAAAAGGAGACCTGATGGTTCAATGAACCACTCTGTCTACAGGAAAGCCACCCATACGGATGCTTATCTAAAACCGGATTCCCACCACCATCCATCCCAGAAGAATTCCCTCATCAAGACTCTATATCATAGAGCCCAATGCATCTCCGACCATGAACACATTGCCAGTGAACTCAAACACGTACGCCAAGCGCTTAAGGCTAATGGTTACTCCGACTACACAATCCGCAAAGCCATCACTCCAACCATCAAGAAGGATCCTGTTGAGGAGCCTTTCAAGACCATCACCTTACCCTACATTGCTGGGGTCACAAAAAAGATCTCCAAAATCCTGATTAAACACAAGATCCAGGTCCGATTCAACACAGTACATAAAATCCGTGATCTGGTACCGTCTGTAAAAGATGTGGTTCCAGACATACAGTACCCTGGCGTCTACAAACTAAGTTGCCTCTGTGGTAGCAGTTACATTGGGGAAACCAAACGACATGTCTCGGACCGCATCCGTGAACATAAAGCTGACCTGAAACACGGTAGGACAAACACCTCAGCCGTGGCAGATCACTGTTACAACTCAGTGGGCTCACATGATATTGACTTCTCCAAGACAGAGGTTCTCTGCAAGCCATCTGGCTATCATGAGAGATTCGTTCATGAGGCGATCCACATATACAAACACAGAGACAATTTTAACCGAGAAGATGGATTCTGGCTTAGCAATCATTGGAAGGACGTAATAAACCATTTCGATACACATTAGGGTGTGTAGAATAATACATAGTATTATATTAAAAGGTATAGGTTGGTTTCCAGCAATACAGTATATAATTTAATGTTGGGTTTATCTATGGCAGTATATAGTACGGTATATGCTCGTGTGATGTAAGATAATAAAGTTTAGATGGAAGCATATTATAGAATTTTTACGACGTAGAATTGTAATGTATTACTTGCTGTTAGTAACTCAGCTTATTGTAGAGTATAGTAAGTATACTGATGGTGCTATGCAGTTTATACTTTAGTTTTTTATGTAGTTTATACTTTAGTTTTCTACGTGGTTGTTGAGTAACTGCAGCTACATATCATTAACATTCCTTTCCTTTGTTACTGCTAATCCCTGCACCCCCCCTTGGTGCTGCTGATCCTGCATAATGCATGGGCATAATATGACTTTGAAACCCCCCCGCCCAACGCCTACGCATTTTCCATGAATATGCTAAATTCCTCTTCATATGCACATTCTTTTTGTTAAGGCGCTCTTCCACCTCCAACGCAGCTTATATATAAGCTCCTAGTTTGGTAGTGTCTCATTCTTCACCTGAAGACGGCTGCTTGCGTTGTAGCCGAAACGTCGTGAGAATTATTTTATTTTATTATGTTTTATTTTTATTATTTTATTACTTCCCTTCTACGTGACTTTACCGAAAGAACCAAGAAGATGAATCCCTGCAGTCACGAAAGCTTTAAATCGAAATCCGGATCCCATCTGTTGAGAGACACACGGGGGTCACACGCGGCGCACATGGTGAGAGAGGCGTGGTGAGAGCATTGACGTTCCTTCCCTTCTCCCACGAGGTCCAGGAACGCACGGCAGCAGCGGCAATCCTTCAATACGCAGTACTCTAAAAATGCCCTGAGCCTCGCACTGCCGAGTAGAATCTTTAATGACCCTCCAAAGAGGGCGATCTTAACACCGGTGGTACTGGTCATCGGCAGATTCACTCAGCTCCAAATCTTCCTGGTGATCGGATGAGAGCGATCGTTGATCACCTTGGTGGGGGAAATCCTCATGGGGAGGGGGGAGAGGGGAGGGGGATGATTCTTACCGCAGGCAGGAGCTGACGAATTCAACAAACTCCAGGTCTTGGCTATTGAGTGCCCCGTGAAGTGACAAGCTCCCTGGCACCCTTCTCTTGACTGGGCAGAACATCATGCCCACACGATCTGCAGGAGACATGCACAGCAGGAGAGACACAGTCACCAACCACCATTTTGCCCACTTACCCACCCACTCACTCTCCCACACACCAATTTACCCACCCACCCACTCACCCAAGGAATTGAAAATACAAAGAGGCCCCCCCCAATGGCCACCCCAACAGCTCCAGGCCACACCCTAACACTGAATCCGGTCGGTTGCTCGCCCCACCCGTCAACTCACCAAAGTAGTGTATTCCGTCAGGAGCTGCATCCATCATACATCTTGGAGGCAACCCGAGGATCTGCACATGGTTGAGATAAAGGCAAAGGTCACCCATGTAGCTGCAGCCGACTAGGGGCAAGTGCTTATAGTAGTGAGTAGAAACAGCAGCAACAGTAGCGGCACCTGTTGAGGGCCAGGACTGTGGCACACACAGAGAGGGGATGGTTGGCCATATTGAAGCAGGTACACACCGCACTAGGTACTCATTTGAGGCTGAGTCGAACTCGGGGATGCCCAGTACCGGTTCAGATAATCCTCACTGATGTTGGCCGTGATTTGGAATCAAACTCGCATTACCGGGTTTGTAGCTGAGCACGTGAACCGCTGCACCACTGCTTCCCCCACACGTACAAGACACACGTGTACACACATACAACATACGATGGCTGCCATTCGCCAGGTCACTAAGTACCCAATTGCCCCCCCCTCTCCTACCTCCCCCCCCCCAGAGCCTACAACTGGGTGAACGCCCAGTTGGAAATACCTCCATGCAGCACGGGAGGTGGTCGTCGCGGCTGTCCGACTGGAATAATTCCCTGCCGGTCACCAACTCCGCCACCGTGCAGCCCAGTGCCCACATGTCCACTGCACAGGTCAATCTGTAGCCCAGCAATACCTCCGGAGATTGGAATGACAGGGTCCCACCAACATGCAGAGCTGCACAACAATCACAACAACAAATATGTATGTGTGTACTCACTATGTCATGAACAGCATCGTTATCACACACTGTCACATATACAGATGTAGGGGTTATTACGGGAGAAACGGCGGACAACAAACACAAGGCTGTCGGCACTCACATACACGGGTGGTCACACCGACGTCCGCATCAGTTATTGCCCACGCCCCCAGCCCTCGGAGGCGATCCCTATAAAAGGTGGAGACCCAAAGAGCTCAAGGCAGTTCGACACGAAGCTGACCAGTGAAGATCCAAGACTCGGAGATTAGGCCCTGGGACTCCCCGGTCTCGCCGTCCTTATAAGGGCCGAGCCGGGTAAGCCAGTGGCGCGGCCCAAGAGCTTCCAGACCGCTGCCCTTATCAGGGCAAGGCTGGTTAGCTAGTGCCGAGATCTGTGCTTGCCAGGGCCAGATCAGTCAGTCTCCCGTAGCCCAGTAGAGGAGGACTGGGGGACAGGACAGAGGGCGTAGTACTAGGGTGGGTTTCCCATAGTACGGGTGAAGGGGCCGATACCCCTTCAACTATTGTACCTGTCCCGGAGTTAATAAACAGAGTATGCCTCAACTTCGACATCGTCTCCTCGAACTTACTACATCTGGTGTTGGAAGTGGTCCAAGCATGGATACGAGACGGAAGACTCGTGCCCAAGACCCAGGAGAGGATGACGACGAGGGAGGGGCGGTGCAAGACATCACCGCCGACGTACCTGCACAACTGCTGCCGGCTCCGACATCGGCGGGCTCGTCGGAGAGGGCCGGGACGTCGACTGACGAGTTGGCGTTGGCTCACTCGCGGCTGGCGGAGCTCCTGTATGCAGCGGCCGCTATGCTGGAACAAATAACTCGCCTGGGGCCGGGAGGAGCGACGCGGCGGGAAGATGGACAACGCCCGCCAGAAACTCCCGCCTTTACAACAGCGGGGAGACTCGAAATTCCCACCACGAAGACAGTAGGGGCAGAGGGAGGAGCCCCAGCTCGTCACGCGGGGGACGGAGCCCAGCCAGCAGCCGCCACGTCATCGGCGGAGGCGGGTCGCAGTGGCGGCCTATCAGGGGTTGCAACGTCACCACCATCGGACGCCAGCACCGACCAAGCCCCGACCAACACGTCACTGACGGCGCGACACCCATTAGAGTCCACCATTACTCGTATAGTACGGGGACGCGATACGGATGCTGCAAGAGGATCAGAGACGGAGCCGACATTCCAGCAACGCCTGCCGGCCCTGCAGGTATTTGTTGCAAGCGACGGCGATTGGGGGGGGTTCCAGCGCCGGTTCTTGGCCCACCAAGAGATGGCGGGCTGGTCGGACAACGAGGCGCTGTGTGCTCTCCCGGCGATGCTGGACGGCGACGCCCTGGGCACCCTCACCGCTGCACCCAAGTCGGCACGCTCCACGATTCAGTCGGCGCTGCAGCTGCTGGCCACCGTTTATGGGCCGCCCTCCGATTGTCGCCAGTTCTTCTATGAACGGCAGAAGGGTGACAAGGAATCGCCACTTGCTTATCGCACGGCCCTGCTGTCATTGGCGAAAGACGCTTTCCCGCGTATGGACGAAGAAGGGATCGATGCGATGGTGGCCGAGAAAATTTTGCTGCTGGCCGACGATTTGGACTTCATCATCCTAGCACAGGACGATGCGGATATGTCATCATTGCGGGCTGCAAGGCACATTCACGCCAATCTCATCTCCCAGCGGAGGAAGGCGAACAAAGCAGCTGCACGACACACCGTGGCGGCGACCTCTTCCGGAATGGAGGGGGCCTTCGCTGCGGATCGTTCTGCAGGATGGCGATCTGCCGAGCGACCGGCTCGGGACGTTCCGAGCCACCGAGACCAGCCCAAGTCCTCTGGAGCGCTCGTCGTCTGCTATAATTGTGGCCTCCGGGGCCACGTGGCGTCCGGATGCCGGGCTCCTCGACAGCGCGGTGCGAGACCTGGAGCTGCGGACGGCCCTCCCCACAAGCCTTCGCAACATCCTCGGGCAAGTCATGGCACCCCACATGTTCGGCCTGCACACACACCCACTTTCCTCTCACAAGGTCCGACACACGATTCTCGGGGTTTGGGTGCTGGTGCGTCGGGTCGCGGCATGTCGGGGAGGGCGCTCCAACCGGGCCAATGATCCGAGTTGGCTCACCGAGTTGTGGCTGCATCGGCGGGGTCGTCCGTTGTCGCGGGGCATATTGACGGGGTGGAGGTACGGCTACTGGTCGATACGGGAGCTTCGGCAACTATCATTTCGGATTTGATTTATAATATCCTGCCCGTTCAGAGTCGCCCGTTGCTCCCTGTCGATATACCGTTTTACGCTGCGAATGGGGGCTCGTTGGGTATTATCGGACAAATTCGAGCGCAAATTTCTATAGGGGACATTAAACTATCTGGCCCGGTGTTCGTCTCCTCCTCGCTGGCTATTCCGTGCCTGTTGGGGACAGACTTTTTGGCCAAATTGCCCATCAAAATTCTGATTGACCAGCAATGCATCGAGCTTCTATCGGGCCGATGTATTACGTTCCTACCTGCCACCCCTGCCTTGCATACTGCCTGTGCTACGGTACAGGCGCTCGTTGCTCGGACGGTGCGTGTACCCCCGGGGGCACAGATGTTGGTACCCCTGCGCTTGCGTCGACCGTTCGATAAAGGGGTCTCTGACCGGGGCATTATGTTGGGACCATCTAGAGCCGGGGAGAGTGGGCCAGATCTGGTGACGGCCCAGACTATTGTTAAAGGGGATGGGGACCCGTTTATCGCGGTCCTCAAATGTCGGGACACGGACGGCAGTGGTTTCGCAGGGTACCGTGTTCGCACACGCGGTTCCGGTACCTGCGGAAACGCCGATCATTGGCCAGGTGGCCACCGATTCTCAAACGCGATTAGCCTCAGACGCTGACGAGGGTTGGCTGGATGCGTTGTGTGCTGAGTCACCTGACCTGTCCAACGCACAACGTGCTAAATTACGTGCCTTATTGCGAGAATTTTCCGACGTCTTCAGTAAACATAAATACGATATCGGATGTACCAAATTGCTACGCCACCATATTGACACCGGTGACAACGCTCCTATCCGCCAAAATCCTTTTCGGTTAAGTCCCGCCGAAAAGGATCATGTCAAATCGGCTGTAGATGACATGTTGAAATCTGACATCATTTCTCCCTCGACCAGCCCTTGGGGTGCACCCATAGTGTTGGTTAAAAAGCACGACGGGTCCCTAAGGTTCTGCGTTGATTTCCGGCGATTAAATAAGATCTCGGTGGCCGATGCTTATCCGCTTCCTCGAATGGACGAATCGCTGGATGCCCTCGCGGGATCGCGATTCTTTTCCACTTTGGATTTGCTCTCAGGATTTTGGCAACTTCCCTTGGACGACGAATCTAAGCCCAAAACAGCTTTCCGAACGCCGCACGGCCTCTTCCAATTCAATCGCTTACCCATGGGATTACACTCTGCTCCCGCGATGTTCCAGCGCCTGATGGAATTGGTCCTCGCTGGCTTGCAATGGGAGGTGTGTTTGATTTACCTGGATGACGTTATCGTATTCAGTAAGACGTTCGAGGAACATCTTGATAGGCTTCGGGCCGTCTTTCTCAAGATGCGCGCTGCTAATTTGAAATTCAAGCCACAAAAGTGCCATTTGCTGCGCGAATCTGTTAAATATTTGGGTCACATCGTCGGCCGGTCAGGCATCTCAACTGATCCCGCCAAAACGCGTTGTGTCAGCTCCTGGCCTACTCCCACCTCGGTGGGGGAGGTTAGAAGCTTCATCGGCTTTGCTTCATATTACCGCCGGTTTGTCGCGGACTTTGCTTCCATCGCTAAGCCACTACATGCCTTAACGTCAAAAGGGGTCAAATTTCATTGGGGGCCGGTGGAGGACGCCGCTTTTGTCTCTCTTCGGGATGCCCTGGTGGGGACCCCGCCGTTAAGCTACCCTGATTTTTCCATGCCCTTCGTGCTCGACATGGACGCAAGCAATACCGGGATTGGAGGTGTGCTGTCACAAATTGTGGGTGGCGTGGAGCGCGTTGTGGCTTATGGTAGTAGAGTATTGTCTCCGGCCGAGCAGCGGTACTGCGTCACCCACCGCGAACTGTTGGCTATCGTGTTCTTTATCCAACAGTACCGGCCATATCTGTACGGCCGGCATTTCACCGTCCGTACAGATCATGCGGCGTTGCAGTATGCCCTACGAATTAACCAGCTATCGGGGCAGTTGTCCCGATGGCTCGAGATCATGCAGGATTTCGATTTTGAGACAACTTACCGAAAGGGGATTCGCCACACCAATGCCGATGCCCTATCACGCCTGCCGATCGCTCCGGATTGCACTTGTTTCTTGGGTTCGGGCCGTTGCAAATCGGCAAGTGACGGCCGGGATCGGGTTCTTGCGGCCGCAGTTGATACTCCTTCGGACGCTGGTCCTATTTCGGGGGGAGGGAGAGATTCCCTACTAGGCTTGTCAAGTGCTGAGTGGGGTCGCCTCCAAATGGAGGATGCGACCCTCCTGGCGCTACGACGTCGCGCGGAAGGATCAGGTCAAGGGAAGTCGGGCGTTGACTCATGGGGGTGGTGCCAGGGCCTACTCATGCATTGGGACGGGACGATCCGCCGTCACAGGCTGGTGGTGCCTTCCACGTTGAGGGGTAGGGCTGTATGGGCTGCTCATGAACGGCTCCTGCACCTGGGTACCCTCAAAACACTTGCCATGCTCCAGCTTAATTACTTTTGGCCGGGCATGGCAAGAGACGTGGACGATCTGCTGCGGTCCTGTACCCAGTGTGCACAACGGAAGCCGCCAGCGAAGGGAGCCAGTCCACCGCTCCAGTCCATTTCGGTCACCCGGGTTAATGAGCTGGTCGCCCTTGATATTTTGGGACCGTTTCCTTCCACGCCGAGGGGTAATAAGTACCTGCTGGTTGGCGTGGAATATTTCACGCGATGGCCTATGGCTTGGCCCCTCGCCAACCAGTCCGCAGCGGCCGTTGCGGAGGCTTTTGTTCAGGGCTACGTCCTCGACAAGGGCGCTCCGGAACGGTTGTTGACCGATCAGGGAAAGAATTTCACTAGTACCCTTTTACACGAGGTATGTGGCCTTCTGGGTACAAAGAAAATTCGTACCTCGCCTTACCATCCACAAACGGATGGGATGGTGGAACGCCTGCATAGGACTCTTACGTCCATGCTATCCCACCAGGTATCTGAGTCCCAAAACGATTGGGATCTACGGATCGGGGGAGTCCTGGCAGCATACAGGATGGCTCCTCACGCGGCGACCGGTTTCTCGCCATTTTTTTTGATGTACGGCCGCGAGTTTGATCCGCCTGTCGCGACTCAGCTGACGATTGCCGCGCCTCATGCTAAGTCGAAAATTGCCGACCATGTTAAATTTAACATCCTTCGCTTGGCGGAGGCACGGCAGGCGGCCATGCAAAACTCTGACTCTCGCCAGAAACAAAACGAGAGATTGCGATCGCGCCGGACACACACGCACGAATGGCACCCGGGCGACCGAGCATGGTTGCACTGCCCCCAGGTGCCATTGGCCACCTCTGCTAAGTTGTTGCGACCATGGAGGGGCCCCGTAGAAATTGTGCAGGTTGTGCGGCTTCAATGTGTGCGCATTAAGTGGGGGAAGCGTCGGTGGTTTGTGCACCCTTCACGGTTAAAGCCATTTTTTGCTCCGCACGCTTCCTCTCACGAAAATGGCCGAACATGTGGGGAGTCCACTGACTCCGGGAGGGCGGGGTCACCGCCAGCCTCTGATCCGCTAATGACTGTCCCGTCTTCAGGAGCCCCATGACTGAAGCCCTCTTGGCTGCCAGCCTCCCCCGTGGGGGTCGGCGCTGGCACGTCCGGGAAGCCGGACGACCAGGCACCTGCAGATGCGACACCTGCCACCGACTCTACCAAGCCGGCCCCTTGTGACGGGCCCGCTGCACGGACTCGCGCCAAAACGCGCCGGTTGTTATGATTAGCTTTCCGCGCGTGTTCCGTTGCTGCGGAACCCGCTCATTGTATATATGTTTTTTTTGTTGGTTGCGTGTTGCGTGTGTGTGGTTGCGTGTGTGTGTGTGTATGGATGCTTCTTGTGCGTGGGGATGGCGAACCACGTTCTGTATATGTGTTGCATTTTTGGGGAGGGGGTTTTTATAGGGAACCATCGGTTGATGTTACGCTTGTTCGTGTTATTGTTACTGTTACGAGGCACACGTGTATTGACTGTGTTAATCTTTATTCTTGGGAGTTGAGGGATTGTTGCAGCCGGGACGGCTGCGAGCTGTACAGGGGGGGGGTGATGTAGGGGTTATTACGGGAGAAACGGCGGACAACAAACACAAGGCTGTCGGCACTCACATACACGGGTGGTCACACCGACGTCCGCATCAGTTATTGCCCACGCCCCCAGCCCTCGGAGGCGATCCCTATAAAAGGTGGAGACCCAAAGAGCTCGAGACAGTTCGACACGAAGCTGACCAGTGAAGATCCAAGACTCGGAGATTAGGCCCTGGGACTCCCCGGTCTCGCCGTCCTTATAAGGGCCGAGCCGGGTAAGCCAGTGGCGCGGCCCAAGAGCTTCCAGACCGCTGCCCTTATCAGGGCAAGGCTGGTTAGCTGGTGCCGAGATCTGTGCTTGCCAGGGCCAGATCAGTCAGCCTCCCGTAGCCCAGTAGAGGAGGACTGGGGGACAGGACAGAGGGCGTAGTACTAGGGTGGGTTTCCCATAGTACGGGTGAAGGGGCCGATACCCCTTCAACTATTGTACCTGTCCCGGAGTTAATAAACAGAGTGTGCCTCAACTTCGACATCGTCTCCTCGAACTTACTACACAGACACTAAGAGACTTGCACACACACTGGTACACAGACACACCCACACGCAGAAACTCACACCCAGGTGAGGTTACTCACGTTGACGTTTCACAAAAAAGCTGGTGCCAAAGTCCGTGACCCTGATGGTGCCGGTCACGGTGTCCTTGATTAGAACATTTTCCTAAAGCAAGAGAGGCAGAAGGAATTCACACTCGAAGGTTACGCCAATAGCATTCATCCAGCAGTGGATCAATCACGTACCACAGTACATACTAAACAGGGGAACTAGGTGAGGCGTAGCGCCGTCGTCAACCTTTAGTCAAGTGCAACATTCCCTGTTTTCTGACAGCTGCCACTGGGGGTGCCCCTTTCAAATGCGTCAAGACGAGCCATGTTCGTCGAGGCTCATCACATGTAAAGCTCTCTGAAGCACCATCTAAGTAAGAGGGTGCGGCTCTATAGACAACTTATCCTAGTTGCTCACAGCTGCCCGTTAACGAGTTACGAACCAAAAACCACACTCGAGGGCGCACGGATTTAGTGACGATTTGGGAAGTTTTCCATTCACAGCATGGAAGCCGACAATGGGCACCTGTCAGTTCAAACGCGTGTTTGGCACGTTTTGAAAATCATTCTTTTCAGCTCCGGTTTGTGTTTCTCAAAGTTTGTGGCAACGCTGTGATCTACATTGCTGGTTTTCTCTGTGGCGAGTCCCCCAATAGCGACACGACTCTACACGACAGTTTAATTCATACCGGATCATCACCAGAGGTAACGTGACCCTGTCTCCTTCCAGATAGACGGACAGAGCTAACACATCGACCCTGTGACCAACGTGGGCGGTTTTCTCTATGGTCCGAGTCCCCAATAATGACACAACTCCGGAACAAAGTCGCGCTGAACGCTGTGTCCACTCACTGGCTTGATGTCCGCATGGATGATGCTCCTGGCCTTGGTGTGGCAAAGGAACTTGAGGATGCCCCTGGTGTAAGTTTTCACCATCCCCATGTGCAATTGCCGGAGCCCCGCTTCCTTAATCACATCATGGAGGCTCTCCCTGTGAAAGAGGCAGAAGCAACAACAATTACAACAACGACACAGTGTCAGTGTCATACCCTGCAATACTGCGTGGATTATGATAACGACAATATTAATATTCTATTTGCACATTCACGACTAATATGAGTCATAGTGGGTTTAGGTCATTGGTTTGCTGATAAACCGAAGCAGCTAGCACTTCTGACCACTTGCTTTCATTGGCTCTGTTTCCGGGTGGTGGAGTTATCTATTAGGAGATACAAACTCCACGCAGAAAGGCGTCCGTGTTGAGAATCAAACTCAGGGATTTTCACCGAGGGGCACAAGCGTCACCACTGTGCTGCAGCCAACCTGCTGATCGAGTGGAGGCGTGGCTATATAAAAGTGGGCACATGCCAGCTCCACAGTATCGCAATGCGAGGTTGGCACGGGAATCCCAAAAGTAACATTTAGCCCCGGTGGTGTGATGTTATCACCCCCCCCTGGTGTGGAAGAGATCGGGGCTTTGATCCTGACCCTGACGCATGTATATTCTGAGTTTGCATGTTCTCCCCCTGGTCACGTGGATTTTTCTCCGGGTCCTCTGGTTTTTCTCTCCACATTTAGAAACACGTGTTTAGAATGTTTGGCTGCCATACATTTCCACATCAGCCACTTTTTTGAGCTATCATTTGTAGCCAGGCCGCTTGTGAAAAATAACTAATAGAGCTGTGGGCTTTACCTGCTAAATAAAATAGTTTTTGTTTAGCTAATGAAGTTAACCACGCCAAGGGGGGGGGGGGGGCTGTGGGAACACATGGTACGTACTTCAACAGCTCCAGGACAATGCAGTGGTGTCCTCTGAAGTCAAAATGGTTCAGGACTTTGACGACGTTGTAGTCCTCATCACTGCCCTCGCCCTGAAGTTCCAGAGCCATCTTGATCTCCATTCTCTGAGATTTATCACGCTTGGAGCTGTGCAGAGAAAATCCACAAATGAATCATGACTTAGACTTGCTTAAGAAATGACCAGAAACAAATTATATTCAGAATTAAATAATTATACCTTCCCCAAGTGTAATGTCATTGTAAGTTCCAGTAGCGCGCTCATGGAAGGTTCCAGAAAGGATAGGGAAGAGGATAAAATAAGCAAGGGATAGAGGGGGTTTGGGGTGCTGACTTAACGTAGTGATTCCCTAATGTGTGAATTGAGCCGACTCCGAGCATGGCCCCAGCCACACTCAGGATTTCCAGAAGCTGAGCCAAGCCACGGCTGAGCCACTCGTGTATCTTTATCAGCAGCTGAGTGGCTCAAGCCTGAGCCAAACCACGGCTGAGCTGGAGATGAGCCTGAGTTTTAGAGATTGAGCCATAGCTGATTCGTGACTGAATGTGGCTCTCACAAAGCAAGGCATTATAACGTGGAACATCATGGGACCTCCTTTGCCAATACCAAAATATGAGAATAGATTTTCCCCTTTTTCCTGGCAACAAAACAGGTGTTAAGATGTAACAAAAAACTGAAACCTTTTACAAGAAATCATGTCTGAATTAACCACAATACTTGTGGTCAGTATGCAAACAAAAAACATACTCTGATAATATATGCATTGTCTTTTAAACTGATTGGTCCACACCAGACAGCTTTCTGTTGAGTCTAGTCTCAAAACGGTGTTAAACCAGAGGACGCCAAAAGGCGTACAGCACAAAGACAAGCACTATCAGAGGAATGAGAGCTCGGGGTGAGCAGCTACATCATGGGACCTCCTTTGCCAGTATATCTTTGGTACTGGCAAAGGAGGTCCCATGAACGCGCCCGTTATGACATGGGACAACCTCATTAAAGCGTAGAACGTGCCTTTTATTGGGTGGAACGTGCCTTTTATTGCGTGGAACGTGCCTTTTATAGCGTGGAACGTGCCCATTATAACGTGGAAGGCTCCCGTTATAACGCGGACCGCACCAATTATAATCCGGAATGCATCTGTTCTAATGCAAGAAAGTGCCGATTATAACGTGGAATGTGCCCGCTATGAAACTGCACGGCTGAGCGGTATGATACAGTAGGCGGAATGCGGAATTATAACGTGACGTGACAGCATACCCTCCATTATTGGTCTCTTCATATCACTGTGTGCGTGTATTATATCTTGCAAAACTTTATCGTTACATTATATATGGGGATATTATGTTTGCTTAATGTGCTTTCCCTTAACGCGGCACTTTTCAGGAATGCATCTCCCAGGTGAAATGAAGAATTAATGTAATGTAAGAGTGAACTGATCCAGAACAGGGGGAGAACATACAAACTCCACACAGGAGGGCACCCGAGTCAGGAGTCGAACCGGGGACCCTCTGTGAGGCACGAGTTGTCACCACCTCATCACACGGCCGCCCACAGCAAAGGACTGAACAACAACGTCGTCCTTGTGACAAGACCGCTCTGAATTCTTACCTCAATGGTGATACCAAGATCTTTACGGCCACCAGGGTGTTCCTCATGTGGTCAAGGCACCAGATCACCTGGCCTTGACCTCCTTCCCCAATCTTCTTCAGCACCTCATAGCGGTAGTGGAGGTGCTCATGCTGAACCTGCACCAAATTACAATCATTTAGACTGACTATATTTTGAAAATCACAACATGTAAGAAGTGTGAGCATTATTTTACGAAATAATTGTTTTATTAAGTGTTTGGTTTTCTTAAATCTGTAATTGTGGAATGCTCTGTCTGCTGGCTGTGACACCCTTAAAAACGCTCATTAGCTCAATGGGCTTAGCTTGGGAAATAAACTTGATTGTGAAGTGTGTGGGAGAGTGCATGTGTGCTGTCTCTGGGTGGTTGGTACTTCAGGTGCAATGACAAGAAGCCACGAACCTCGCGACCGCTGCGCCTGTGACCGCCCCCACGGCGGGGGCTTTGTGGCGAGTCTCACCGGAATGTAATGATGTTCGTGGTCGTCGTATCCATCGTTGTTTGGTCCCCGGGATCTGTTGCGGAGCGCAAAGTACCATACTTCCTGTATGGCGACAAGCTCCAGCTTCTCCCGGTGGGTCATTTGAGGGCCAAAGAGAGCCAGGATTGCTGCAGGCAAGAGAATAACAACAACAGCTGTCGGTGATCATTTGTTTAGATTCCTTTTCAGGAGGTTCCTGCAGATGATTTACAGAGAATGGGGGTGACGCTGCTGCCATTACGTCTGCTGTGTGATCCCAATTTGAGGAGTTTGCAGGGGACTTGGATGTTTTGGCCAATTCCAGTTATGTCTGTATGTTGAACTTATTTTGCACCATGCTTCGGCAACCCTGCTAATCAGAAGTGAGGGGGAAGGACAATAAACTAAAAAGTTCGCAAAAATTATAGATTTAAAAGAGCACCGCTCCAGTGGCTTCCTAATGTCGGAAGAGCATTCCAGATGACTGCCGAAGCACATCTGACAACGTGCGATGCAGTGACCATCTTCGTTCGATGTCCAGCTATATGCAGCTTTGATGACGTCTTAGGTTGCTTGGATTTGACAACGGGGTTAATGAATTAGATAAATATAACACAGATATGCCAAGGATTTTATGAAATAAGAATAGCTTTTACCCTTCCTGGCACAAAAACAGGTGTTAATATGTTCAAACACCAAATAGATACCTTTTGCAAGGCATCACGTCTGCATTTACCACACGTACTTGTGGAAAAATATGCAAACAAACATGCTCCGATAATATATGTGTAATAATCTTCCAGGAGACGGCTTCGGAATCAGTCCTTTTTATTTCCACTCCACCATACACTTTCCTCACTCACTCTCCGTTGCAGGCAGACAACGGAGAGAGGACAGACTACGCACGAAGTCCCCTTCGCGCACGTGGCAACCCGAGGCCCCGTCCGCGCGTGACCCTGCTCTTGTTAGTTTCAGTCTGCTCGCGATCGTTCCCTCTCGCTCGCTCTTAAGACCTTCGTCACGTGGTTCCCCCAGCCAATCGTGTATGGACAGCTTCGACCCTTCTCGATGGTTCCCTGTCAATCCCGGGACCACGCCCCTCATCCGGCTCCCCATTAGCTGGGGCCCCGAATGGCTAGGCCAATCACTTCTGATGACCTGTCGTGATGACGCATGGGCCATGGTCCCAATCTCAACCCTTATTGGCTACGAGCAGGACCGGCAAGCCAATCCCCACGTGAACCCTCTATGGCTGTTATTACATCACCCCCCCCCCCCCCCCCCCCCGGTGAAAAAAATTGAGCCGTCTCGGCTGGGAAAGGGGTGAAGAACCAATTCCGTGACATCTTATTAGGGCACCAAGGTGCGTTTAACAATCAGAGGGTGAACAGGCGTTCCCGCGCCTAACAACATATAAAACAGTCACCCATAATAATTATAAGAAAATCACAACATACATTAGGGCGCCCCTGCAGCGCAGTAACGACAGGACTTAAGCAAACGATCAAGCGTTAGCGAAACGGAAGAGACTTCGACCGCGTACGCGACGCGGGACCCTCTCCGCTCCCAGCGCAAGGTCGCTTCGCTTCCGGACGAATAGGAGGTGGCAGGCTTGAAGGAGAAGTCGGTTGTTGGTGCTTGGTCACGTCCAGGGCGGGCCCCGTTCGAGGGGGGGCAGCGGGGGCTTCCTCAGCCCTCAGAACCTGTTCATCTGCAGGAGGCACACCACAGTCCCCCTTGGGATCAACGGGCGTGTCAAGCGGCGCGGTCGGCCCGGCAGAACCCGGCAGGTCAGTTATTGGGGATGAAGGACCGATACGCGCGTCAACATAGGGTTTTAGTCGCGAGGAATGAACATACCAACGACGTTTGCCGTATTGTATGCGGATACTTTGCGAGTTCCGAACATCCACGAGCGTCACAGGCCCCCGCCATGGCCTGTGCAGTTTAGGGGATGTGCCCGCCGGTACCTGGGGGCAGTGGAGCCACGCCAGGTCTCCCACTGACCAAGGCATGCGAGAATGCGATCGGCGCGCGTACCGTTCGTTCCTTGCCTGAGCACGGGCCGTCGCACACCGGGCAGCCTCTCGCGCTTCCGTTACTCGTTCAAGCGAGTCACGCACGTGGTCAGGCAGGGAGTGGGACGGTTGTTTACCCGGCGTACCCAGTTGCACATCGATGGGTGGGACATTTTCACGGCCATACATAAAAAAAAACGGCGAGTATCCCGTGGACGTGTGCGGAACCATGCGGTATGCCGCCAAGACGCCTGGTATGTGCAAGTCCCAATCGGTTTGCTTTTCACTGACCGTGTGACAAAGCATAGCGGAAAGGGTACGGTTGAATCGTTCCACCATACCATCTGTTTGTGGATGGTATGGGGAGGTGCGAACTTTCTTTGTACCTAGCGCATCACAAACTTCCCTAAGCAATTTCGAGGAGAAATTCCGGCCCTGATCTGTGAGCAGCCTTTCAGGTGCGCCCTTGTCCATGACGTACCTGTTCAAGAAAGCGTCGGTGATAGACGCTGCCGTTTGGTCGGGCAGAGGCCAGGCCATCGGCCATCGAGAAAAATATTCCACCCCTACCAGAAGGTATTTATTGCCCCTAGCCGACGGGGGAAACGGCCCCAGAATGTCGAGAGCCACCAATTCGTTGATACGGGACACTTCAATGGAACGCAACGGTGGAACAGTGGTTCCGAGGCGGCTTCCTTTTCGCACAGTCATGGCAGGAGCGGACGAAATCATTGATGTCCGCCGTCATACCGGCCCAGAAAAAATCTTTCTGCATTGCGGCAACAGTCTTTTGGACGCCGAGGTGCATCAACTTATCAGCGTGCAGAGCACGGAGCAGGTCGTAGCGAAGCGAAGTAGGCACCACCAAGCGTGGTTGGTCAGTCACCCCGTCGGTACACATTAACAATCCCGACTTACCCCGGAACATCTGCCACTTCCAGCCCGCCAATTGCGATTTCTGTTTCCCAACCAATTTACGTAGTGGAGACAGCGAGGCATCGGCCTCCTGCTCGCGCAACCAGACTGCGTGCGGCAGCCGTAAGGTATCATCGGTGTCCACCGACACCTGCTGGTCGTCCTCTTTCGCTTTCGCCCCTGCGTCGTCCTCATTCGCTATCGCCCCCATAACTGGGCAGAGCGACGTAGGCGGTGCGGCGCAGCGGTGCGTGCCCTTCAGGCAAGTGCACGGAGGAACGGGCGGCAGCCTTGAGAGCGCATCAGCGTGCGCATGACGGGCCCCCTTTCGGTATGTTATATCGAAGGAAAATTCCTGTAACGATTCTAACCACCGGGCCAATTGGCCCGATGGCTGATCCAATTTGAGGGAATATTGCAAAGCCGCATGATCAGTGCGGACCAGGAATTTCCGTCCATACAGGTACGGTCGGTATAATCGAACAAAATGGACAATGGCCAAAAGTTCCCGCCTTGTCACGCAATATCGCGTTTCTGCAGGGGACAGAACCCTGCTGCCATACGCCACCACCCTCTCAACACCGTCCTTACGTTGCGACAAAACGGCCCCAATGCCGATATCACTAGCGTCCGTATCAAGGATGAACGGCTGTGAAAAATCTGGGTAATCTAACGTAGGCGCCGTGGCGAGGTGGTCCCGAAGTGCCATGAAGGAACTTTCTTCCTCCGCCCCCCATTTAAACCTCTGATTTTTGCCAGTCAGAACGTGCAATGGTTTAGCCAACGTCGCAAAGTTCTTAACGAAGCGGCGATAATAGGAAGCGAATCCAATAAACCGCCGAACATCACCCACCGAAGTGGGTGTGGGCCACTCACGTACACACTTCGTTTTCAGAGGGTCAGTGGATACACCGTCCGAACTGACAATATGACCCAGGTAACGGACGGAGTGTTGCAGGAGGTGGCATTTCCTCGGTTTAAACTTAAGGTCAGCCGCACGCATTCTTTGAAAAACTGTCTCAAGGCGTAGGAGATGTTCCTCGAACGTGCGGCTAAAGACAATTATATCGTCCAGATATATGAGGCACGTTTCCCACTGCAGTCCCGTCAACACCAATTCCATGAGCCGCTGAAACGTGGCCGGAGCCGCGTTCAGGCCCATCGGCAACCGATTAAATTCAAAGAGGCCTTGCGGCGTGCGGAATGCCGTTTTGGGTTTTGACTCATCATCGAGGGGAAGCTGCCAAAAGCCCGAGGACAGATCGAGGGTGGAAAAGAATTTAGCACCCGATAAAGCATCCAATGAGTCATCCATCCTCGGTAAGGGGTACGCGTCCGCTACCGAGATTTTGTTCAGTCGGCGGAAATCAACGCAAAACCTCGTACCACCATCCTTTTTTTTAACCAGAACGACGGGCGCGCCCCAAGGACTATTGGATGGTGAGATAATATCCGCCGCCAGCAATTCATCTACAGCCCCACGCACGTGTTCCCTTTCCGCCGGGCTCAAGCGGTGAGGGTGCATACAAACAGGCGGCGATGCACCGGTTTCAATATGGTGCGACAAAAGCGATGTGCGTCCGAGGTCCAAATCATTTTTGCTGAACACATCAGTGTACTGCAGCAACAGCGAACGCAATGCGTTCCTATGTTCATTTGACAAGGAAGAATTCTCTCCGCATAAATCGGCGATCCAGCGTTCTTGTGAACGATCATGCGGAGGCCCAACCGCGGCCATCCGAGCGCGCGGCGGTTTTTCACAAGAGGCGAAATCGGTAGTGGCGTGAGCCAGCACCGATCCCTCCGGAACAACAACTCGATCAGGTCCCCCATTCAAGACCTGTATGAAAGGTGCCTGACCCGGGTGCACGATCGTTTGTGCCGCCGCCAAAGAAAAAGATTTCGACACGGAATTCGACGGGGATAATAGCACACCTTCCGCATCCCTTCCCATATGAAGTGGTTTTCGGTAACGTAGCGGAATAAGCATTTGTGCTCCCGATGGAACCTCCACCGTAGCCGCAACTACAGCAGTAACCGTGTTACCTGTAGGCGCCTTGGCCAGCAGGGAAGGCAGGAATGCCATCCTACGACCCCCCGGCATTTCCAAACAGTCCTGGTCGACCCGTATTCGCAACGGCATCCGACGCAGAAAATCAGTACCCAGCAAGCATGGAACAGCTAGCGAGCGAGATATTAACACTGGTCCTGCGGCGGTAATATTTCCGATAGTGATGCTCACATCCACCTGTCCGCAGATACCCATGCTCCCCCCATTGGCGGCCACACAAGCATCATTAACTTTGCGTATTCTCGACGCAGGAATGGACAACAAATGAAAAATGACATCCGAAACGATGGTAGCCGATGCGCCAGTGTCCACCAAAATACGGACGTCAACGCCGTCGATGGTACCACGTCGATGGTACCACGTACCGTCGACGAGCCCGACGCCGCAGCCACGACCCTGTGAGCCAATTTCTTCCACTGAGTAGCAGAGCGTGTCAATGGAGCAGGAGAAGTAAAATTACCCTGAGGAGTGTAAGAATGAGTGCGAGTGGATGAGTGATGTGACACGACCTGCCGGGTGTCCGATTTGTGCCGACTCGCCCGAGGTTGTTGCAGCTCCACGACAGGTAGAGGAGATAGAGGTCCCCTCGGCGGAGCAGGCGACAGCAGAGGTCGGCAGCGGCAGTCACGGGCGAAGTGACCCCGTCTTCCGCACTTGAAACACGCGGCCGACGTCGGCCGGCGGTCGGACGACCCGGCCCTCGCACGCGGTCGGCCCGTGTAGTCGCCCCGCTGGTCGCGCAGCCGCCGGCCCGGAACCCTATGCGGGACAGCAGCAGCCAGCATGTCGTCGTCGCCCGAGTCGTCAGAGCAGTGGACAACCAGTCGCGGAGACCACCCCAGAGGCGGCCCGTCGATCTCGGGTTTCCCCATCCACGCCGCCATCTGGTCCCACCGCTTGATATTAAACTTAGCGTCCAGGCAGCGCGCCACCCACCGCGACGAAAGCGGTTCGTGGCCGCACACCGGTAGAGAGATGTTGAGCTCCTGAGACAACTCCAGCATGCGGGAAAGGATGAGAGGATCCAAATGTTCGGCCGTCGCGTTGGGGTAGGCGGCCATGGCCATCGCCATCAACGCCCCCCGATAGGCCAACGACGATTCCTCCGGTGCCCGGTGACGCGACATAAATTTTCTGGTGGCCGATGTCGGCGGGTCGTAAAATTCCGCCATCTCAGTGAACGCATCCCGCAGTGTCTTCTTCTTGGACGCCGGGATGGAGCGGAAGACTCCTAGAGACACATCATCGAGCAGCGTAGGCAGCGCACCCAGCGCTTCTTCCTCCGTCCAGTTGACAGATCTGAAAGCTGACTCGAAACGCCACGTGAAAGCACTCCAATCGCCCCCGGCGATAAATTCTTTTATTTGTGGAAGGCGATGCCCGCGGTGGCAGGCGCGTGCCGCGGGCGTCTCCGGCCGCCGTTCCCGCTCTCCGCTCGGTGCAGACAAAATGGCGTCCGGCGGCCGCGTGGTGGTAGGCGCGCCCAAAATGGCGGCCGACGACTCCGGCGCAGCCGCCCCTCCCAAGACGACGACGTCCTCCCGCGTGGCAGGAGCAATGGCGGGTCCTGCTTCCATAGCAGGACCCCTTCCCGCAGCGTCCAGCTGATCGGCGATCTGGCGACCCATGGCTGGTGAGGACGCCACCGCGGTCACCAAGCTCAGCAGAATTGCGCGCAACGACTCAATCTGCTCCGCCATCAGTCGCCATTCGTCTCTCGGTCCTGCGGTGGTCGCGTCCTCCCCCGGTCGATGCTAAGAGGCGTCGAGGCGAGCGTCGTCAGCCGGCGGCACCAGGGCTGTAGCTCCCAACAGCTCATCTTCATCCGTCTCCACCTCTTCCTCCGACAGAGGCACGGGCAGGTTCTTTTTTCTGAGGTGCTTAGACATCTTGACGATCGTCCAAACAGTCGCAGAATTACTTCTGACACCAATGTAATAATCTTCCAGGAGACGGCTTCGGAATCAGTCCTTTTTATTTCCACTCCACCATACACTTTCCTCACTCACTCTCCGTTGCTGGCAGACAACGGAGAGAGGACAGACTACGCACGAAGTCCCCTTCGCGCACGTGGCAACCCGAGGCCCCGTCCGCGCGTGACCCTGCTCTTGTTAGTTTCAGTCTGCTCGCGATCGTTCCCTCTCGCTCGCTCCTAAGACCTTCGTCACGTGGTTCCCCCAGCCAATCGTGTATGGACAGCTTCGACCCTTCTCGATGGTTCCCTGTCAATCCCGGGACCACGCCCCTCATCCGGCTCCCCATTAGCTGGGGCCCCGAATGGCTAGGCCAATCACTTCTGATGACCTGTCGTGATGACGCATGGGCCATGGTCCCAATCTCAACCCTTATTGGCTACGAGCAGGACCGGCAAGCCAATCCCCACGTGAACCCTCTATGGCTGTTATTACATATGCATTGTCTTTGAAATTGACTGGCCTGCACCAGAGACAGCCTTCTTTATGGCCTTGTCTCGCTGGTGTGAGACCAGAGAACGGCAAAAGTCGAACGGTACATCACCCATGCAACATAGCCACCATGAAGTCCCCCATGCATCATGGTCACTGTCACGTCCCCCTTGAAACATGAACGTCGTGATGTCCCACCATTCAGTGTGGCCATCTTGACGTCACTCATTTCTGTTCTTAACTTGTGGCGACTTGCTGCGGATGGAGGCGGTGCGCGCTGAGGACAGCGCACTCCACGTGGTGCAAGACTCGCCGTTACTCTCCAGCTCGGCTGATCTACACACACACACAAAGGTCCACCACTAGAGCTTGAGGAGTGAGTGGGACTCGGGCAGGACGAGCCATGGCCAGGATGGACAACAATGGCTGACAGTCAAGCATAATAACAGTGACAACCAAGGAACGGAACACATCAGAGAGGAGAGCGGCCAGAGAGATGGTGCGACGAAACCGGCGCTTGGCGGATTATGCCATCACAGGATGTGAGGGGTAGCAGGGTCTCAGGGAGCGAGGCGTTCATCCATCAGTGGATAAATAACAGTGCTGTAGATGCTCACGCGTAGACGGGCATGTACACCAACAGGATCTCGGAGAGACACTGATAGACGCACACACACTCAGGCGGGCAAGGAGAAGCACATCCAGGTATACAGGTCACAGGTAGGCACACGCAGAGGGGAGAACACACGTCCACCCATACTTCACCACACAAGTCGAGGAGCCACATGTACTTCCATGGTAGCAACTTGCAGGCGAGGGTGCTCAGACCTCACGGTGTCTCTCGCGCGGTCCGGGTCTCTGCGTGGAGAGCGGGAGACAGAGGCGAGGGTCACAGAGTCGAAGGGGCGTGATACGCCCACGTCTAAACACACGTCACTTCACAATGCGGACTCTCATCATCAACACAGACTCACATCCTCACCAGTCACCCATAATACGAAAAACACAAAAAGCAACAACTGCCTTTCCTCAGCATTCCTGGCAAGGCGGTGTTGAATAATCCTTGCCAGGACCTTTCCCGGCACACCGAGGAGTGAGATGCCCCTGTAGTTGTTACAGTCTGTGCGGTCTCCCTTCTTAAAGATGGGGACCACCAGGGTATCCTGCCACCTCACTAACACCACCACCACTAATACCACCAACACCACCATCACTATCACTAACACCAGTAACACCACCACTATCACCACTAATAACAACCACAATCACTAACACCACCATCACTAAAACTAACACCACCACCATCACAAGCACCACCCCCACTACTACCACCAACATTAACACCACCACTCCTCCCCCTGCCAGTATGGGACACCAAAGACAAAGAAGGCTCAGCTAATCGAGTCTCTCACCTTTCTGAAGAGATGCCGCGACTCTAAGGTAATACCAATCGCATTTACACTAACCTCTGCTGCTGTAACTTCTTCTAATGCTAAACGAATTCTGTCTAGAACTAGCTTAGCTCTTATCTCAGAGAAAATCAGACTTACGCGCACCGAACTAGACCAGTTAGACAAGACACTCTACAAATCACACTTATCTTTGACTGCAACAATTTCCACATCGGATTGGGAACATGTAGACAATATGACTGCCTCTTCAGCTGCCGCTATGTCGACCAAATGTAAGGACAACTTGATTTCCAAATTCAACCGCCTCTCAAATAAGAGACCGGACCCACACACTGAAAAGCTAGACGTTAACAAAGTCGTAATTAATCGCTAACCCTGCATAATGCACGGGCATAATATGACTTCGAAACCCCCCGCCCACTTCCTACGCATTTCACAAATGGTACTAATCACATACCTGCATTTCCCATAAATATGCTAAATTCCTCTTGATATGCAAATTATTTTGTCAAGGCGCCCTTCCCCCCTTCCAACCCAGCTTAAATATACGCTCCAAGCGTGGTGGTGTTTCATTCAGACGCTGTCTCCCCGACAGACCTGGTCTTCACCTGAGGACGGCTGCATGCGTTGTGGCCGAAACGTCGTGACAATTATCTTGTTATGTTTTATTTTTATTATTTTATTATTTCCATTCTACGTGACTTTACCGAAAGAACCAAGAAGATGAATCCCTGCAGTCACGAAAGCTTTAAATCGAAATAAAAATAAAGATCCCCATAGAGACTTAACAGTCTGTAGGGGAAAGTGCTGTTAGCCAGCAGTACGTATGAAGGTTGGCACTACACACGAGGGGGTTGGATTGCCAGCACCACGCCCGGCCGCCTTTGTCTCCCTAGTGGCGACCTTTACACACCGCACCAGGTACTCATTCGAGGTTGAGTCGACCTAGGGGAGGCCCAGCACCGGTTCAGATAATCGTCACTGCTGTTGGCCTTGAGAGAGAATCCACCTCGGGGTCTCCCAGTTAATAGCGCGGCACGCTGTCAGCTACACGACCGTTCCACACACAGACTCACACAGATAGTCTCACACACACAGACTCACACAGATAGTCTCACACACACACAGACTCACACAGAGAGACTCACACAGAGAGACTCACACACACAAGACTCACATAGAGAGACTAACACCACCACCACTCGCCCACAGCTCGGTTCAACTCCTCACCTGCTCTGGGGTCTGTCGGCGCCTCTCTAACGGGCAAACTGCCAGTGGGAAGCACGTGGCGCGAGACGCGGGGGCGGTACAAGTTAACCACGCCCCCCCCCGTGATGTCACAGCCATTAGCTCCTCCCCCCACCTGAGCTCCTCCCCCCATGCCTCCTCTGCCCCCCACCCGAGACCCCCCATGCCCCCCCTCAATACCCCCACCATGACTGTTCCACACAGACAGACTCACACACACAGACTCACATGGAGAGACTCACATACAGACTCACACAGCCACCACTCACCCACAGCTCGGTTCCACTCCTGCAGGAGACCGACTCAGTGTAGTCCCAGGGCTTGCGAGCTGGTTTTCAGTCTCCAACGGCTCTTCTGCTCCAACGACTGCCTCGAGCTCTCACACGCACCGTCTTATATAGCCAACTGCCCCCCGAGGGGCGGGGCTGTATGCGGACGTTGATGTAGACACCCCACGCACGGACCGTGATGTAGACACCGCAACGTAATGGCTTGCTACACCCCGGTACGTAACACCTCTACATCTCGATTTAAAGCTTTCGTGACTGCAGGGATTCATCTTCTTGGTTCTTTCGGTAAAGTCACGTAGAAGGGTATTAATAAAATAATAAAAATAAAGCATAATAAAATAATTCTCACCTTCCATGTCCCCTCTCCCCCTCGCTACCAGCCCCTCGCACCCATCCAGAACTCCCCGTGGCCACTGGTGGCTGCGGGCGACGTGAGGTGGTTCACAGCTGGTCAGGGTTGGCGCCCCCCCCCCCCCAAAATGGCATCTCTCACAACCACCGCTGCATTATCAACCGTCACCCTTCGCCAATAAGTAACAGTGACGTCACCACAGTGACTGTGCCAGGCCAGGTGCACTTTGAAGCCACGTGAAGTGTCGAAGGCTCGCTGACCGGAGGTCCTGCAACAGACCCAGGTGCCATGGGTTGGCTGACTGAGATGACTGGCAGCACCACCTGTACCCTGTACTGTGCCAAATTGCTGCATATTTATCATCCGGTGTTCCGCTCGTTGTTGTGAGCGTCACTCCTCCGTTGTTGTTGGAGGGCGAGTGTCGCCAACTGCCAAGTAGAAGCATCCTTCACGAGCCTCCCCGCAGAGGCCGATCTCAACACCACTGGTACCAGTCGTCGGCAAAGCCCACTCAGCTCCACATCCTCCCGTACCGCATCAGTCCACCTCCACTCCAGCCCATGCCGTGCCCGCCCAGCTCCCTCCATCCACCCACATACTCACTTACCGGCTTACTCACGCACTCACCCACTCATATCTGCTCACGCACCCACGCATGAAATTTTAAATGCAGGCTACGCAAAGCATCGTGATCAATTTACACCAAAATCTACTCTCAACCACTTAAACCACATATTCGTAAATGATGCGCACCCTAATCAGCCACTATGGCTGCGTGCAGGGTGTTGTGATGTCACGTAGTACGACGTTTTTCTTGCTCCCCCCCTCCCCACCCCGTTTTAACGCGTTGTCTATCTATGGCCTCGTCACATTGGCCTTAATGGACGCGTGGTGATGGTGAAAGATGATTCGGCGGTGGACACTGAATTACCGGAGCCCCATTTAACATTCAGGTGACACGGGGCACCGTACGTGAAGAACCTCATGTCCTGT